GCATGACTTTCACGCACTGTAGCTCATTTCCTCAGATGTATGGGCATCCTGAGGACTGTAAACACATTGGGGAACATTATACATTCTTATTTTACTTCCTGCTTGGAGCTGATTCATTTACACAAAATAGCATTTATACTTGTCGAAGTTTTACCTCCATCATTTATCACTCTTACTACATTCAGCAACCAACCTTCAATTCCATATACATAGAGATTTTGTAATTCAAATCTATTCACTTTACCATACTTTCTTCAAAGCAACAATGTTCACTAAACTTATTTTCTCACATTTGTACATTTCTGTAGTTTGTTGAAAAGCAAAAATCTTTGCATAAAACCATACTTTGTTTCCCAAATTTTGCTTATTTTCACCTCTTGACCTTTCCATTCAGAATATTGCCAAATGCTTTACCAAGCACTATAAATCTCTTGTAGTTTGTACATTCAATATTACTATCTTTCTCTTTATAAAAGGAAATATTAACATAATTCTTCTGACATACATTTTAGTGTTTCATTCATAATTAAAGCAATATGCTCATGCTATTTTAAGTAAAGTTGGGTCTCTAATCTAAAGGCTACATCACAGGCAAACATAATATTGCTTGCATTCCACCAAGAGGTTTAGGTAGTCCTCACTTACTAATTATAATTGGGACTGGCAACTCACTGAAGCAATCGTAAAGTGCAATGTCATATGTAAGTTTGACTTGCGTAAGTTTGTCACTCAACTTATGTAAGTTTGTCAGTTCCAGCTATGGTTGTTAAGCAAATCACAGTGGATCATTAAACACATTACATGACTGTGACTTGTCACTTCTTGCCACCTTCCCCATTGACTTTGCTTGTTGGAAGTCAGTTGTGAAGATCACAAATGGTGATTGCAGGATGCCCTAACTGTTGCAAATGTGTGCTAGTTGCCAAGTACCAAAATTGCTATTACATGACTAAGGGGAGACTGCCATGGCTGCAACTTTGAGGACCATTTGTTTTTTTTTCTAGCACTGTTGTAACTTTGAATGGTTGCTAACTGAGTGATTAGTAATCAAGGGCTTCTTGTATATGCACTATATTGACATAGATTAAAGCAGTGGTCACCAACCATTGTGGCTTGGTGGCCCGGCTGATGGGGAGGGGAACTGGGCTGTGCAAGCACAGTGATATTACATGCTACAGCTCAACTCATGCAAACGGCGGGCCAGTGCACGCTGCTCGACTGCAAAGTGGAGCTGCATACGCATGAATGTGTGCGCCAGCCCACCGCTCAAGCGAGTTGAGCTGTACGCATGCACGAGTTGAGCTGCACACATGCACGCCGGCATGCTTCTTGCACAGCTCAGTTCTGAATAGCCCTTGGCCCTGTAGTGGGCCGCAGCCTGGGGATTGGAGACTCCTGGATTAAGGCATTTGTAAGTGAATCTGATGAGGTAGCAACCAGATGAAGCAGAGAAACACTATGAAAATATGTTTGAATATACAAGATCACTAAGTAAACCATCATATGTTAACCTGGAAAACTATGAGCCTAAGAACTCTGGAGAATAGATGAATATAATGTCTTTGACTTCTTTTGCCCTGCAATGGGCAAAATGTAATGTGCGTACATAATTATGTGCATACGTAATACATACATTGCCCTGCAATGGGCAAAATGTAATGTGCATACATAACTTAATTCCTGTGTATAATAAAAACTTTAATTTTGTTGAATGATGTCTGAGAGTCTTCTGCTGAGTAAGCCTATTCTTAACTAAGGGGTTAAAATATCCGTAGGGTCCAGATTTGCTATGGACTCTGGTATGAAGCCTGACAGTGATAAACTGTAATAATTTAGCTCATGGATAACCGAGATTTTTGTTTGAAGAAGAGAGGTGGACCAGAAGCCCATCAAATAAATCCTCCTATTCCTCATTCTTCACCTATTGTTGATTCTCCTTGTACTTATGCAGGAAAGAAAATAAGACCTTCAAACGAATAAGAGGAGAAGATGCAGGAGATTATCCCAGCAGCCTCATAGTCAATGCCTCCAAAGAATTGTGAAGTTGTGCCAAGGCAGTCCTTTTAGATTCTAGCATGGACCTCAGAATGTGGTCTTTTTTTCAGAAATAAGGCGTAGGCAGAGCACAAGGCAGCGTCCGCTCCAGTGAACTAGCTAGCATCCCAGTCAAGGAATTGTGAAGTAGCTAGTTGTGTCTAACATCTATCAGCTAGTATCAGCCCTGACTTCTAAATCAATAATTCCAGGGCAGGAAAGGCAAGCATTTATAGAGCCAGCCAAATATTAAAAATATATCTGGATGGTTGAAATTTCTCTATTTTAGTTTTGGGTGTTTTCATAATTGATTTATGCCCATAAATGATTATGCTTAGTGACTGGTTCGTTTGTGCAATGTAGGATGATGTCTATCATGAATCATTATATTGTAATGAAAGATGAGCAACCTAATGAACTTCTGAATGCTGTGGATGTCTTGTAGTAATTTTGTGAGATCAAATATGGGGACTGTTTCGCTTAATGAAAAGATTTAAATCAGACTTTGTATCCAGGAATAATTTATTACAATAAAGTTTCAGAAGATAAAACAGAACTTTGGTAAAAGGGAATTTGCTTGATTATAATGATGGATCCTATCTGTAAACAACTAGAAAAATGTTTTTGTTCAGGGTAGACCAGTGATGGTTAACCTTTTTGGCACCGAGTGCTGAAACTGGAGTGCACATGCACACTGGAGTGCCAGAACCCAGAAGAGAGCAGCTGGCCCATGCGCATGGCTGCCAGCTGCACGTCTGGGTTCCGTCACATGCATATGTACTAGCCAGCTGGTCTGGCACGCATGCGTACTGGCCAGCTGCTCTCTTCCGGGTTCCGTCGCGTGCATGTACGCCGGCCAGCTGGTCTTTGTGCAAAAGCCAGCTGGCTGGCACACATGCACGCGACGGAACCCGGAAGAGCAACTGGCGACAGTGCACGTGCCCACAGAGAGGGCTCTGCGTGCCACCTCTGGCACATGTGCTATAGGTTTGCCATCATGGAGGTAGTGATGGCAAACCTTTACCAATGGTAAAACTGACACATTTGGAAATAAGATGATATAATAAAAGGGTTTTGATCTCTTCCAGCACAGCAGGCCTTCTCTTAAATTGATTTCTGTCACAATAAAATGTAAAAATCGTAACAAAATGTATGTATTGTATGCATTAGTGCATCAGAATCATGTTTTTCAATATTACATTCAGTTTTCTTCAATTTTAATTCAACAGATTATGCAAATCTGCAACATGAGCAAAAATCATGGCAGGATATAAAAGCAATTTCTGTCATTTAAGTTGCACAAAGTAGCATTCATTCTGTCTTTTTTCTATAGATTGTGGAGCACATGGGATTTGAAACCTGTCCGAGAAATTACATTTTCTAAATCAAATAAACCAATTGTCAGGTAAAAAAATGATCGTTTGGTAGCATTTAGAAATTATTTTTATGCCTTTTCCAAAAAGTTAATATAATTGTTGGAGTGCTTTGCGTATCTTTAGAGTCCCCTTAAGGTTTCTCTTTCGGAAGTAGCACTTAATAACTTTTGGTTTTAATGAAAGTGCCCACTGCCTAATATGACATTAAACTATCCCTATAATGTGTTCCTTGTTAAAATGAAGAATTAATCAAAGGGGGAAAGGTTAGAAAATTGTTAATATAACATCTTGCACTAATAAGTCCTTGCTTGGTAATGGCAATTAGGATCAGCAACTCCATCGCTAACTGTCACGGTTGCTAAGCCAAATATCAAATGACCATGGTGGGCTTATCTCATTTCCTCTTTGGTTGTTAAGTGAATTATCGCAGTTATTACGCAAGACATCGCATGATTGTGACTTATGATTTTACTCCCACCTTCTGTATTAATTCTGCTTGTGACAAACCAGTTGCCAAATGCCCGAATAGGGATCCCATGACTGTGGCATGTTGCAATGGTTATGAAAGTGAGGAATGGTTGCAAAGCTATCTTTCTATACCACAGTATTTATTTATTTATTTTTCAAATTTTTATACCGCCCCCTCTCCCGAAGGACTCGGGGCGGTGAACAGCCAAAATTAAAAACACACAATACAAATCTTAAAATACTTTAAAACGAAATTAAATTTATCTTTGGCTTTCCCAATTTATCCCCAGTATAAAAGGCTGTTAAATGAGACAATCAATAAGTGAGGACTACCTGTATGCTTTATATTTCCTCAAGTAATTTTTTGCACATCTATTCCATGGGGTTCCAGATCACATCAGTAAGGTTTGACAGGCTACACTAGATGGTGCATATGTGATTGCTTACATGCCAGTTTGCTGTAGAGAGATATTTTTTGTAAACAATAAAATTCAATGTAAGCAGAAATATATATATTCAATGCAGAAAATGAGTAAGATTAGCATTTGTATTGTCCTTATTATTAAATTAATTTGCCACCTATCTCACCATGGGACTACTCTAGACAGCATATAACCAAAAAAAAACCCTGAAGAAATAAAAAGGAAGTTTAAACAAAGTGAAAGTGAAATAGAATAATAAAAAACCAAGGGAAAGGAAAACAAAGAAAAAACATCAATATGATTAATTAAAAAAAAAAATGGATGAGTGGGGAGTAGAGTGCAGGGAGCTGGGAGTGGACTCTGCTATCAGTATAGCCATCACCTCAGAATTGAACTTCCCCATTGAGTCCCCAGGCCAATTTGCAGAGCCAGGTCTTCAGGCTCTTACACAATGTAATAGATGGCTCTTCTTCTAGATCCTGACAGTCAGAATTTTTTGACCAAAGGGATCCACAGTAAGTCCTCCCTGCTGGCCCAAGTAGGACGGGCTAGACTTAGTGAAATTTTAGCCCATTTATAGGCTATATCTTTCTCTTTTTCTTTTTGTTCCTCTCCCCATTTAATGATATATACCTTAGGATATAGGCTATCTGACAGACTTGTTTTTATTTGTGTCTTTTTGAAAACTTTATAGCCTTACCTTTTCGTGTGATGGCCATCATTTGTACACCGCAAATAACGAAGGAACGGTGATCTCTTGGTGTCGCAAGGACCAACAGCGCTTGAAGCTTCCTATGTTCTACTCATTCCTCAGCAGCTATGCAGCTGGTTGACAGCTCTGTCGGCTTCTCAGCTTTGGTAAATTATGAAGCACTTTCAGTACAGAGTGGACTGTGAAGCCTCTTTGGTTTTGCTAGATTTTGAAGTACATGTATGACTTTATCATCAGCAAGTAGACCTTTGATGACGTCAACGAATGGCTGCTACGTATGCTCATGCACCAAATTTATGAACCATATCACAGTGATAAGAAAATTCTGGCTTGCCTTTTTGGGTACCAAAAGGACACTAAGGGCGCTAATTCAGAAGTATATATGCTGCAATATGTTATGTAACATAAACATATTTTTATGGATACTTTCCTGGACATACATATTCTAAATCTTCAAGCATTAGTGATAACTTTTGCTCATCTGTTATGTAAAAATATAATTAAAATATTTCAAAGGTTTATATAAAAACCAGTGTTTGTGTTTAATTCATTATTAGATTATAATCCACCTTGTTCTTCTATACATATAACCATCTCAAATTTTTTAAAACTAGAGTTTTAAATGCTTAATTTTTTTGGGAGAATTTGATAAATTTAGTAGGTGCTCTCCACCAAAATTATTTGAATTTATGCATTTAATTTTATTTATTTAAAAATTTAAATAGCCTCCCATCTTGTATCAAACTCAATTAACAATAAAACAGCAATAAAAAAGCATAATGCATATATCTATTAAAACTATAAACATTATCTTTACCCATCTTGCTAGACCAATAGTTTTTTTTAAAAAAGACACAAGTTTTCATTAGCTATAGATTAAATTTGGATAAAGCAAACTGTACTTCATGAACATGTGTGCCTTTTAATTAATTGTTAGTTCACTTTTTTACTAGATTTATCATGCAGGAACTGAGAAATGATATAACTAGTACACTAGCCTAGTTCATAAATGATGTCAGGCAAAAAGGTGATTTGTTCATTAGTGTGATGTACAACCCATTATTATTTAATGATTTATATGGTCAGGCCATAATCTACAGTCTAAGAAACAATTGTTTGAAAATGTCTTGCCTGACATTATTTGTGAATCAGATCTGGCATTTCATTCTGCTAGTTTTTGCCCTTGCATATAATTTAAATAATTATGGCTTTTTACTTTGACAGCCTTAGTAACCCCAGATTTCAACTCCTGAATTCCAGACATGGTTTTTGAAATGTATCTGAAAGTTTGCAGATGACCTTGTTCTCATAAAAACTGTTTATTTAGCTCCCCCCACTTTTTTTAAATAAATAAGGATCTTTAATGCTTGCACAAACCTCCATGTAAGCAATAGTTTACAAGATGCTTTGTAAGAGGTTTTTTTTTTGGCCTTTTATAACATATAAAAATAGCCTTTTGTAGCAATTTCAAACCTAAAGTTCTGCAGATAAATCACTCCTATAAGGGCTTAAAATGAAGTTGCTGAAATTTGATAACACAAACCCTTACAAGGATTTAAGGTAAAACAGAAAAAATGCATTGTTTCTCTATCATGCATTTTTATTCCTTAACTGATGCACCAGTGACTTGCCTTTAGCATAATTAGCACTCAGAAAATATGCCAAGAATAAATGGAATATTATTTGTTATATCAGAATAACTTTTAGAATTCTGATAACACTTTTAAAAACGTTTTAAAAATAAAATAAAAATAAATAAAAATAAACTTTTAAAAATAAAAATAAAAGTAGTATGCACTATGGTTTCACCATGGGCTGTATTATACATTCTTCTCCATGACTTGAACTCAAGAAATGATTCCTGCAGGTTAGCAGCAGAACCCAAATAACAGAGAAATGTTTTCTAAAAATAAGTACTATATTGTAGAAACTTTCAATGAATTAAAACATGATGGGCACCAGATCTTTTAAAAATAAATTTGAAAACAAGTATTTATTAAAATGCCTGCCATGGCAAACACTATCATGCAGGCATTCCTTTTGTTCTTAGAAAATCATGTTTCTTTCTAAGGCTCCTATAGTACTGGAGTCTTCTTTTTTCAGAATGAATGTTTTAATGAGGTAGGTATCTGCAAATTTATTTAGGAATACATGTATAAAAATGACTAAGCTTGTCTCAGAATCATGAAAGATTCTGTATGAATCACCTTAAATTCCGTGTTTGAACATCAAAAGAATTTTAAGGACTGTGATGAATTATCTTATGATTTCCTTCCAATATGGGAGGCTGCTCAGGTTTATAGCTTTATGATAAAGCAAAATGCCTACAGGAGTTTCCCTTGTCTTGGACTTCCAATTTCAGAAGGCTACCTGTATTACAAATATTGTGAACACTCTGGAGCATGACAGAGAATGAAACTCTATCTGGGCACATAAAACACCAAGGATCTTGGGCTTGTGAAATTTGGATGAGGTACTACTTACCAATGCTTGCAGGCTGGCTTACTAGGTGCTGGGCGCCTAACACATGGGTACTTAGGGACTTCAAATAAAAGGACAGTGACCATGGGTGGAATCATGCTGGGCTATTAGAACAGAGTGTACTATTATTGGCTTATTGGAATGAAGTAGAACTAAAATTAAATTCTATTTAAATTGTGGTAAGCTAAATTTTATTCAGTAGTGTTATGCAGAAAAGTACACAAGGGGAGGGGGGATTCTATTATTGTTACTTCTGACTCTTCATGACATGATAGACAACAGTTCACCAGGACTGTAAGCAATTTTTGTAAACTCATGGTATCAGTAATAGTATCTAGCCATCTTGTTTTCTGCCAGCTTATTTTTCTATTTTTTTAATTTTTTAAAAAATTTGATTTATATGCCGCCCTTCTCCGGAGACTCAGGGTGGCTTACAATGTGTTAAGCAATAGCCTTCATACTTTTGTATACTTATACAAAGTCAGCTTATTGCCCCCACAAGCTGGGTCCTCAATTTACCTACTTTAGAAAGGATGGAAGGCTGAGTCAACCTTGAGCCTGGCAAGATTCGAACTTACAGTAATTGCAGACAGCTGGTGTTAATCACAATGCTATCAGTCTGCTGAGCCACCAGGACCAGTTGGCTTCCATTTCACCAACTATCAAGCTTTCTTCAAGGACTCTCTGCATATCATATCGAAAATAGATAAAGTTTAACTTTATAATTAATGTTTCAATGATCATTTTGCATCTACTTAATCTAGGTTTAGATAATTTTGTTCTTGTGGCAGAAGATATTCTCCATTTTTTTCAGCCTGGACCTCAATTCAAAGCATTAATTTTTCTTAATTCAGCTTTTCTGATGTCTGGCTTTCACAACCGTATTAAAACTGGGAAGATGATTGCCATGATAATAGTGTCATTATTGTCAGTGTGAATGCTTTCCATTTTAATATTCTATCTAGATTTGTCTTTCTCACAAGAAATAACTGAAGGGTTGCCCACATAATGTTCAGTTCAGCATGCTTTGAATTGGAGTCTGTTTCTTGCAAAGTTAGTATTTAACTAGTGTTTTCTGTAGGGTATGTGAAAAGTAGATATTCTCTCTCTCACTCACACACACACTTCAAAATGCACCAGGATGCCCTGCGTTTTGAAGTGTTGAGGAACACTTGTCCTTCACACTTTTTTTGTATTTAATATGGGAACCATCTGTATATCTTTTGCGAACATGATTCCTACCCAAAGTGTGAAACAGGCTCTTACTCACCCCTCACTTGTCTTCTTAAATTATAGACTGGGGAATTGGATGACCTTTTTACTTTTAAACACATTTGATTCTGTTGCTTACTGCAGGATAATCTATTGGAAAACTTTACATACTAAATTTTTAAAATCCATTCACATTTTCCTTGTAAAAAAATAACATCAGCTCCAAATCAAAATTGTCTTTCAAGGTGTAACGAACATCTGATGTCTGTGATATGTATGAACTGTATTTATAGTTAGGTTCAATGGGGGAAATAATAACTGGAGTCACACTCTTTTTGCAGCTTTAGATTGCTTTGGCATGGGAGACAGCTGATTTCTTTTTAGTATAGTTGTTGCATTGTGTCTCTTACAAGCCCTCATTCCCTTCTGCCTCCATTCCTCTCCGTCCTCCTCCGAGCTTTATACCCGTTTCTGCACTCCTATATTGCCTTCATTTGAAGGCGGCCCTAAGAAGGCAACATAACGAACAAATTACACTATTTTAAACTCTTTTGTTTCTGCTTCCCCTGACACCGAACACATTTATTTAGAAACAAACTCTTTCGTTTCGTTTTACACGGCAGTTATTGTCACGAAAAATGGAGGCATAAATCTCCTCCCAGCTATAAAGCCGAGTCTTAATTGTGTCCGTCCATTTACCCGGCCGTCATCAACAGCCAGGCTCCCAGCGGCTCCTTGGAAACTCCCGGGCCATTTGGCCCCGAAATCTGCGGCTGAAGGTCCTTGGTTGCTGGCCTTCGCCGTACCGCTGACGAGCAGAGATAAAACACTCGTCCCCCAGCGCTTTCCTTTCAGGGACTCTCCGGAGATCGGGAGGAAAAAAAAGCCGTTGCTCTCTGCGGCTCGGAATTCCCGGCTCCCCCCCCCCTTTCTTTTTCTTCCCGTGCTTGTAGTCGCGCGCCTCTCTCCCGCTAAACTCATCCTCTCTGCCGCCGTTTCCAGCCACGAAGCATACGTGCCTTCTTCAGGCAGCCGAGGACGGAACAGATGACGCTCACGCCGACAGCCGACATCTTCCAAGAGGTAGGGGAAGAAGTCCAGGGCCGCCCCGAGGACGCGCGCTTTCCCTCGCCCCGATTGACGTCACTAGCTGGAATTCCTCCTCGCGGCAAAAGCGGAGACGCGCACGCGCGCCTCCAGAGACTCCACAGCCACAGCAAGCGAGCGAGTCGGCTATCGGCTGCTCCGCTAGGCAGGGGGCGTGACGGACAGGTAGCGTTCTTTTTCAAAACCAAAACAAAATAAAACCACACGCCAGTCGTATAGTCGATATCTTCGCCTCAAGGCGGGTCAGAGCCCCCCCCTTCCCCCCTCCCCCCCTCTCCCGGGCATGTGCAACCTCAAGACGTCCCTGCTTGCACTCGAGGCGTGAGTGTGGTTGGTGGCTTCGCTGTTCGAATCTCTCCGACTGCCAAAAGCCTCCATTTCTTGCTGCAAGGTAAGTCTTAGCACTGGGCGAAGGCGGGCGCGGATGGGGAATTTATAGGGAAAGCCCCGCTCCCGGTTGCTGGCAATGGTCTCAAACCCAATGGTTTGGTTGAGAAGAGGTTGGGGGGGGGGAGACTTTGAGCCGGTGGCAGATTCGCAGCTAGTAAGAGTTGGGGTGTGTCACAAGTGTTTTCAAAGCGTGCGTGTTGCATTCTTGGTTGTAGTCGAAAATAATGGGTTTAAAGAAGTTGTCCCTGGGATTGCCAGAAACAGTACAGTAAGGCTGTATTTCGGTAAAGAGGCCCATTTTCTGCTTTTCATTTTTGCTACTTTCTGCACTGCACAGACAGACTTCTCACATAATTATTAAGCCTTTCATCTGACTTCAACCATATAAAATCAAGAGTATGGCAAGAACTGGCATGGATGATTCTTTCTAATGAACAGAAGCTCTATGTATGCGTTGTGTGTGTGTATGTGTGTGTCTGAATTTAGTCTCTTGAGCTGCTGGGTACAGTATTCCAGGCCATGTGGCACCTGATTTAGAAAATCTGAGAAGGCAGAAGATGGTATGTGTGTCCATAACACACATATTAGGGAGGCAGTAGCAGTGCATCCGTCAGAGAATGAAGGTTGTGGGCAGAAGGCAAATATTCTTAGGAAGTGGGAGAGATTACAAACTGGCACCATTGTTTGTGCCTTTTGGGGATAAAAGAGCCTTGTTAGAAGATGCTTGTTTATTATTGTTTCTGAAGAATATTTTAACTGTATGATTAGCCACTGAATGTAATGTGCAGAAGGTTAGGGTAGTCCTGAAAGGAAAAAGAAAGAAAAGTGTTACAAGCCTCAAACCTTCAAAGCAGCATTTTAATAAATGTTGCTTTTCTCTCTCTTCTCCTTTTTCTCTACTTGGGAGCTGATAGATAGGCAACATTGAGGAATTTCAATTGTTCGGATGAAAGAGTGCCAGAACAGATTTTAGTGCAAAACAGACAGACCGTTCCAGTTGTACTACAGTGATGAAAGCAGGGCGCTAGCATTAGATACAAAAAAAAAAAAAAAAGATCAGAGAGATTTTAAACTGTTTTCAGGCAAGAGATGAGGAACATGCAGTTATATATCCTTTAAAAAATTATGGACATGTTTCAGAATGTTCAAAATTTAGTGGCAAGTATACAGAACCAAATAGCTGTTTAAAGATATCGGTCATGGAGAAAATCTATCTATGCGGTCACCAGGAATTGAAAATGATTTGAGGGCATATAATCCTTCAATCAAAGACACCAAAACGAATAGGAAAAAAATCCTCACGTATTATGTGTGTGCGTAAATGTATCTATCCACACACAAATCCATTTGTATAAGAGCACAGCATATAAATAACAAATACTGTTCACCATATAATCTAATACTAAAAATTGGAAATAAACATATATCTTATTGTTTACAATATCTTATTGTTGGGTAGATGATGAACAAAACAAAGCAAAATAACAACAACAAAAAGATCATGCTCTGGCCCTCTGATTTAGTCGAATAATTCTGAGAGGTAACTGTTTGCCCCAAACACTTCTGGATCTGTTCTAGACTAAAGTAAGTGGTCCTGATCAACTGTGTTATTTGGGATTATCTGTTATCTGAAGAGTCAGTGGAGGTTAATTGACTCCTTTTCTGTGATTGGAATTGAAGTGCTAGAAGGCTCAGAAAATGGATCCTTTCTACCTACTGCATAATTTTTTCAGTTTTCACCTCCTTCCCCCCCCCCCAGGTGCCACTCAATGGATGGAATGAGAATAGCCCTTGCTCTGCAGTACAGATTTTTGAAAAATGTTTTTGGCTGGAACAAAAATAAATAACAAACCAGATGATAGAAAGGGAAGAGCTGAACTCCAAACCATAGAAAGGGGGACTGTAAGCATGATGAACAGATGACTGATTGGGATATCCCTGCTTGGGGCATTGAGATAAAGGGAGATGATGGGAAGGTATGAGTTAGAAAGAGATTGAAAATGCAAGTATTCATTGGTGCAGAAACAGACTTTTTAACTTATGGAAAAGACTTTTCTCTCAGCGTTCCAGGGACAGGGAAAAGAGAAGCTTGAATTTCCATGGAGGTGAGAAATCCAACCACTGTCCCAAAGGTATGTGGTGATGATGGGTGACCTGATCCTGAGAGAACTCAAGTTGGCAGTCTACAGACCTTATATATATATATTTATCAAGGGAAATATGCTGTTTCCCAAGTGTGTATATACAGGAGTGATGGAGAGACACTAATCTGATTAATCAATCCTACTGTATTGATCATAGTCCTTTTCTCCTATTTCATACTGGAACAAAGACACTGCCAGAAACAACCTGGAAGAGTTATCAAGGGACTATCAGGGCTTAGGCAGGAAAGCAAAAATAGTTGGAGCACAAGTAGTATTTTTTTACACACTTCCAAGATCAAGGCCTGAGGAAGGAATAGAGGAATAGAGGCTTCTGGAGTTAAAAATACAGTTCTGTAATAAACTGAAAATAATAACAATAAAGACAAATTTTAAAAAATGAAAAGAGGGACATGTAACAAAAGCAAAATTTCAAGAAATAGCCTGAATTTATAAGGAAAGGAACAGGTAGACTAAGGCTCAGAATGAGCTGAGTCTTGCTGTGAATGCCAAAAATAAAAAGTGGTTTGGAGTTATGTGTAGAACAAGAGAAAAATGATCAGTTTGTTAGTCAGAGAAGATAGCAAGATGGTGATGGACATAAAGGAGAATGCTGAAATATTTAATTCCTATTTTAATTTTCTATTTTTGTAAAATGAGAAAGAGATCCAGTCTGTCAGAAGCTCTGCTTGAGGGACATAGGAGGGGAGCACAGAAGAAAAGTGCTGGTCGAAACAGACTTGGAGGCTAAATCCTATGGAAATCAATTAAAAGAACTGACATATTGTGGGTTATTCTCCTTAAAGCCACTGTAATAATAACAGTAACATGTCAATACATGGTGACAACAGAATAGAAAACTGGATAGAATTACAAAATACAAAGATCTGCAAATAGAAATAGAACAACTGTGGCAAAAGAAAACACAGATACTGGTGGTAGTACTAATAATAATAAGCACCTTGGATGCAATCTCCAAACAGTTGGAGCATTAACAGCATTGGCATTGATAAAATCACCATCAGTCAATGGCAAAAGGCAGCTTTACCTGGAACAACAACAATATCTGCCTGTTCCAGGTCCTTGGGAAGGATAGGTGGATAAAAATGCCGAATCCAATCTAAGCATCTGGCTGTACGACCAACCATAACATAATTATATATTAAATGTATATGCTGCCTGACATCCAATGATTCTAGGAGGACAAAAACCAATGGGTGGTAGCTTTATAGACGAGAGTCAAACTTAAGGAATTTCCTGATTATGAGAGCAGTCAAGCAGTGGAACAGTCTGCCTCCTTGGGTTATAAATACTCCATATCACTGGAGGTTTTCAAGCAAAGGTTGGAATGTCATTTGCAGTGCATGTGATAACTTTTCACTGAGGAACTGTGGCAAATCATATATCTAATTTCTGGCCATTATGCCAGAATTTAGTGGTACAATTAAAAAGGGTCACAAACCATTGCATGTTGCTGTTCTTTCTCTAGATGGTGCTGTTGGTCTATATTAATGGTTCATTTATTTGATTTACATTAAATACCGGATAGTCAATAATTAAAATTTAAAAAAATAGCTTTACAGTTATTAACAGTTATAGGGCCTGCATCTGATTATAATTTTTCTGTTTCTATACCCATTAAAACCTAAAATCATGATCTAATAAAAAAATCAGAGCAGCATTACAGAGTTTTCTTGGTGCACCAAGAGCCTTGGTGGTGCAGTGGAGTAAGTGCTGTTATGCAGCACTTTGCTGCCAGCTGCCTGCAATTAGTGCGAGTTCAAATCTCACCAGGCTCAAGGTTGATTCAGCCTTCCATCCTTCCGAGGTAGGTAAATTGAGGACCCGGATTGTGGGGGCAATAAGCTGACTTTGTAGAAACACCACTTATGGGGGGCCAAAAGCCCTAATAAGCAGGTATATACAAAAGAATGAAGGCTATTGCTATAAGTGCATTGTAAGACGCCCTGAGTCTTCGGAGAAGGGCGGCATATAAATTGAACTAATAAATAAATAAATAAATAAATAAATAAATAAATAAATAAAATAATAAATAAATTTTCAATTCTGATTGTTATTTATAGGGTTAATGCTATCGGGTAGTATTTTTCTTTGTAGGTTCTGTCTGAGGACAACTTTAGTTTAATAACCTTAGTTTAACTAGTGAGATATGGTTCTGTGAGCAGGTCCTAAAGGAGAAATGTTTTGAACACATGACCAAATTGAAATTTTAAATTTTCATCCAGTGGCAAGACATTTTAGAAATCAAAGGCTGTGTAGATACTTAACTTTTAGACAAGAATTCATCAAAAAATGACGTTTGGGAAAATACTTAGTAGGAATTGCCCCCATGGTGGCAGGACTCCATCAAAAATGACACCAGGCAGAGCATAGAACAACTCAGAAAAGTAGTGCAAGATCAGAAGATATGGAGAGACCTGGCCCATACAATCGCCAATTGTCAGACACAACCAAATGGATATCACCATCATCATCCTCATGAAATGCCACAAAGAATTAGGGAAATTTGGTTTGTGTTCTAAATCAGTGGTCCCCAACCTTTGCAGCTTCGCGGCCCGGCTGGGGGGAGAGGGGAACTGGGCTGTACAAGTAGTGGGCTGGTACACATGTGCGCATGCAGCCCTTGCATGGGTGGCAGGCTGGCGCGCAGCTTGACTTGTGTGACCAATGGGTTGCCGCGTGCAAGTGCCTGCAGGCCCGCTGCTCACACATGTTGAGCTACGTGCGCATGCACATACACCGGCCAGCCACTCACATGGCCCAATTCTAAAAAGGCCGCGGCCCAGGGGGTTGGGTACCCCTGTTCTAAATCAAAACTGGCATATTTCCCATTTTGTTTTATAATCCCAAGTATAATTTGGATGGAAATAGCACAAAGCAAACAAACAAAATCACTTTGCCTTGTTGTAATTTAAATAAATTTATACTGAACACTTTAAATTCTGTCATTTTTAGTACTACATCTATTAACTTGTGATACATGGATAAGAAAATAAAAATTGGTTTCTTTTTTTTAGCAGAAAATATGATAAAAGCAAAAATGGGATTTAAACCAAAAGCAGAGAGTATTTTTCTGGGCCAGGTGTAGATTTGAAGGTATAAGAAATTTAGAACCTGAGGAAATACGTGATCTGAGAGTCTGTACTGGGGAAGATATAGTAATTATTGTGAACTGATGTCAAAAAAACATATATCTATATTCATGGAACTAACCCTTCATTTTATAATCCTGTGTTGTGCTCAGAAATTAACCCATGCAGAGGCCCATGCTTGGGATGAACTTCATTAGAAGCCTATTTGTTGCTGTAGTTGTGTTTTAAACAGATATAAATGTAAGTCCTTTAAGTAGGAATTACAGCTTTCAGAACAGTTAATTATATTTACTTTAGATTCATCTAGCAATATACCAGTGGACTTTTCATCTAGTAGAGGTGTCCTTTCCCTGCCTCTCCCTTGTAAGAAAATAAGGATGTTATTGTGTGAAATAGGCAAGAGAATAATTTCAGTTCAATGAAAAAGTGTGAAGATTTTCTGAATTTCTGCATAATTTTCTATCAATCAGAGCTTCACGTGGTCCGACTAATACATACTGTATATATGGAATTTGAATGAAAAAATAAAGTTTCATTTTTGTCTTATTCTTTCCATAAAAAAAGGTCATCCATATGATATGCAAGTGTGAAAAATTGTAGTTTCCCCTTAATTCAATCAGGTGCATTACTGATGTAACTAGGGCTAGGTATGTGAGTGCTTCATTAAACAATCAGGGCTAATCTGTGCCAACAACCCTACCCTATGTAAATCTCGCAAACCTTGGCTCAGCAATGTGAAAATCTTACTATATCAATTCTAGATGTTCAAACATGTTCAGTGTGAAAACAGTGAAAAACTACTTCTCCATTAATCCATGGTCAGAGACTCTCTTGAAATGGAGAAGGCTTGGAGATCAGTAAACACTGCAAACAGCAGCCATCCTCTCAAAACCATTCTAAGAGCACAGCATACAAGAAATTAAAACCCAGGACAGCATGTAGGGATCTGAAGGATTTTTTTTTTGGTCTGGACCAAACAGTCTACACAATTTACCCATCTGAAAAAAACTGATTAAAAAGGCATTATTGGGAGTTTGGTAAGCAAGGTAGAAGCCACTGCTAAGAATAGTAATGCTCGTCTCAAATTTACCAAAGGCACCTGGACAGCTTTCCAGATTTCTGAAGGAACATTTTATGGACAGATGAATCAAATATGAACATTTTGCAATTACATGGAATTGTTATGTTTGGCAGAAAACAAACATTGCATTCAATAGTATGAAAATCTCTCTCTCTTCCTCCCCCCTCCCTTGTCCGTCCATTCATGTCTGTCTGTCCGTCCGTCCATCCGTCCATCTATCCATCCATCCATCTACCTACCTACCTATCTACCTTCCTACCTACCTATCATCTGTCTAATTTATATAGCTTCCTATTTCACCAGGAGTGACTCATGCCACTTCTAAAGCATTAGATCAAAAGATACTGATCCCAAACATACAAAGAAGTCTGGGAGAGAATGACTGCAGAAGAACATATTTGATGTTTTGGAAAGATCAACTTTAAGAGAAAGGGGGTAGAGTCCGAAATGAGCAATTCATGCTAGTAAATTCATTTCAAGCATTATTGAGCTGAAGCAGATTGCCATGGAGAAATAGGCCAGAATTTCTATCCAGTTGTATGACAGATTGACCACCAATGATAGGAGTTAGTTACTAGTAACTAGTTACTGCCTCTAAGGGAAGGGGAGGGCAATTCACTGGGGCATCAGATAGTAGGTATCTTTGTTTATGAAATAAATGAATCAAGCACCAAACTTTGATTGCTATTTGCTCATGCACTTTTCTCACTTTATATGTCACTTTTACAATATTCATTGGCAAAAATATGCAGGGAAAAGGGGGTTAATATTTTTTGCAAAATGGTTTGTTTTTGTCC